TGCATTTAGGGTTGAATGTACTTTTCGAGCTTGAAACCTACTTGGTAGATACTTTTGACTCAGCTAATGAATGCCTACTTCGCCTCCTACACCACCTCCAACATGCCCTCTTCTTGTCTTTAAGAGCGCAAAGACCACCGGAAATGGTTACCAAAAACTTCAATGAACAGAACAAGACCATATACAATAAAATGGCCTTTAAGAGCGACATCCCTGATTGCATATATGAGAATAATATCTAATTTCATTAGGGGACTTCACGGTAGGGCCAATTTTCCCGTTTGTGAATAAATATATTCATTTTATGGGACGAATAAAATTGTTGTTTGTGGAATAAATGCGTGATCACCCCACTTGAGTCCGAGGATGTTTTTATATTTCTATAGCATCAATTCCACCTGCCAGGCACACAAAACACTTTAGGTGCGCCATCTAGTCATCTGACAGACCCCTATATCAGCTAAACAAGTTGGATCAGGGACTTTTTTTTTCTATATATATATTTTTGATGGGAGGGCAGGACTGTTGCAGCCGACGAGCAGGAGAGGTGGGATGACAGGCAGGAGAGGGGTGGGATGATGGGCGAGACGAGGCAGGACAATGGGCAGGGAAGGCGGGACAACAGGCGGGGAAGGCAGGATGATGGGTGGGATGAGGCGGGATGGGGGCAGGGCGGTCACAGGCAGCTTGCTTACTCAAGCGGGTATATATTCCACAAAAAAATGTTTATTCCACAAACGAGATTAAATCTCGTTTGTGGAATATTTTTATTTTGGGAAAATATTCGTCCCATCAGTCCATTATTTTATTCTCAAACAAGATATTTGGCCCTACCGTGAAGTCCCCTATTGTTTCCCCCAAATATCCGTGTTCTATTATTCTGAATACACACTGTTTACTGATCTAATACCTGTCAGAAGTCACTTGAGCTATAGCTGAAGAGTTTTAGAGTTCTGGAAATTCACAATGTTTTTGAACTTGAAGTTTGAAGGATCTGGCCAAGGTTCAACTATGAAACCTAGATGGATTCCGGTGATATTCTTGCACGGCAACTTTACCTTCAAATAACCCGGGATTTTTTGACCATTTATTCATGGGGCGACCCAGGGCTTTAATTTGAGCCCCTGGGCGTGATATTTCATCCAGTATTGGGTGTGTGGGGTCTAATTTGCGGAGGGCCGACCGTTATTCATCTTGTGATTGGCCGATCAAACACGGTCCGGGCTCCGGCCCGGCTGCCAACGCGAAGTGGTCATAACTTTTGCGGCACTTCAATGAACTTTCAATATCATGGAAGATGTTTTCAAACATTTATAACCTCTCATTCATATATACAGTCCATGCTTTTGCTTCTGCTTAGCTGGAGCCTCCAACACCTCCTATTCCCCACAAACTTTGAAGGCCTAGGTTCAGCTCTGTCAGTGCTGTTGTGAAAGCTGAGATCTGATGTTATATTTGTGCCTTTGAAATTGTTGCATTGCTGTTTTGAGTCAATAGAGGTGGTCAATAAATATGGAATGTTGAACTTCACTCACTACATCCACAGTGAACTCATATCTTGAAACAGGTAGCTATGTACATCAGTTGTGCTTGAAATTCAATGAGACCACAGAGATGAGAGATATCCATACCACAGGGGTAAGTCGGTATACTACCCAGAAAACGTGGCAGAGGTGTTGGAGGTGCGTTGGAGGTGTCGGAGGTGTCTGATGTGGAGTCCAATCAACAGCAGGCATCATGCACACAGGTGAATGGCAGCCTGGCAGATCAACCCATAGCAACTCACAAGCCAACACAAGTGAAGATGGCCACACGGATTGACTTTTACTGTGACAGAGGTGAGGGAGTTATAAGACTGGTAGACAGGCATATGGCTGTGAGTTCCAGGAGATGGCACCAGTATTGTTAGGCTGAGGTTCAGAAAGATGTTTCAACAGGACCTAGAACTATTGTTGTGACGGAGGTGGTTCATACACAAGGACTGTCTATATGTAGGTGAACATTTGAAAATCAGGAGTATTTGAACTGGCATATCTCAAAGGTCACTGTTTGTATAGAACAGTACCTGAGCTGGAAAAACAACATTTTAACATTAGAGAAGGCACCAGAGGTGTCGGAGGTGGATCAATTTCGCATTGCTGGTGATGCAGGCAGAGAAAGCCGGGAGTTTGAACTGGAGTACATATAACAGCAAAGAGGAATAAAACATAGACAGAACCAGTGCTAACTGAGCAGCATAAGAGTAAGGAAGGTGCAGAAGGATATTGGCCCTGTCATGCATGTTACTAAATTTCTTCGGCCTCATAGAATACGACAATGATATCCATTTTGTATATAATGTACCTGAACTGAGTGAACCGGCAAATTTTCGGGCAAATCACAGAACCTCCAATGCCTGCAATGCGAGCCGTATCCCGTAGTGGATGGAAGATTGGTGTGTTCTGAGCTGTAACCCATGCACCTACAATTGTCATGTTTGTGTGCTCACCCACACACAATTCCTCATCATGATTGAGGGATCGCGATTCCGTGGATAATTTGGATAGTAAAGCGATTGCATGGATCGTTTAGGTGGTAAGAGAGCGCAGCTTTTTGAGGGTGGGGGCTGGCAGAGACCGTTCCCATGCTGTCTTGTGTTCGAGAGAGACAGTGGCGAGAGCTGCGCAGTGGTTCAAAGATGATTTGCACAGAGAGGGTAGTCCGAGGTAGGCGGGGGAGGCGGAGTAGGCGGGCCATGCTGATGCCGATGTGGCGAGGACCTAAGCGAAGTTATGCGGGAGGCAGGGTAGGCGGGCCATGCCGATGCCAAAGTAGCAAGGACCTAAGCGAAGTTAAGCGAGCCCGGCCTACGACGTCTACACCACCGATGCGGACCTCATAGTCCATTCACGTACCACTACCGAAATGACCTAAGAGGTGCTGCTGTAAGCAATAAAGTTGCTCCCTTAGGTGCGTTGGTATCAACGTTTTCGATGGGAACTCTCCAAATCTTCGCATCCATCGCGAGTCAATACGACTCCTGGTTGGGTTCACCAACCTAGTGACTATAAACATCACATGCTCCATTGGAATCGACTTGGATGACATCACTGCAGCCGATTTGGCACGCGCTTGGCCGCACCTCGAAGAAATGCATATGTCATGATCTGGCCTGTGCAGGTCATTGCTTAACGTCACTCTGGAATGCCTATATTCCTTTGCGACATAGTGCCCTCGCCTCGCGAGCCTCACTATAACGCTCGATGGCACTAGTGCCCCAACCCTAGCTCTCGGCACCTCATAGCATGCCTTGAAATCGATCGATGTCGCGCATTCCCCAATATCCACAGCAATAATGCCTGTTGCGCGATTCCTCTCCGCCATTTTCCCGGACCTGAAACGCATCACGACGAGCCGAGATGGTCTCGATAATGAGGATCCAGAGGAACTGCGCTTGCACGACGAAGCAATTGCTGCTGCTTGCATCCCATGATTCATGGAAAGAGGTAGAATTGCTCTTGGTGATCCAGGAGGTTCCAGTGCAGAACTCTTCGGGTGGGTGATATCGCCGTATACTCGTAGACACTCTTGCAAGTCTCTGGCTCATTGCGAAATATGTTGCCCATGTTCGATAAAGTCTCGTATTCTCTCCGGCTCTGTGCCATTTGAATAGAGTTCTTCGAATACTGTGCTGGCCCTAATCCTTTCCCATATCAAGCGTTCGCAATGCTCCAAAGCATAAACATTTCCAGGGAACTTCCGCGATCCACGAAACCCACCAGATTCGATTTCTCACATGATCAGGAATCTATTCAGCAAACCCCGCTGCACTGAACTGTGAGCAGTGGGCATAAGCTGCAGATCGTTGACCGAGCCGGTACGTTGTGCAACACGCTTGTGAAGCGTCCTGATCTCACACTCGCAAAGTAGAAATCGAGGAATCTAATGTATTTCCATCTCCAGCAGAGATTCTCAGTCGGGAAAGCATGTCAGTCGATGAGCATTCATCAACCGATTCACTGTCAACGAATCTCACACAGGTTGAATGCGATTGCGTGCCTTTAAGCCATCCATTACCACGGAGGATTTCCATCTCGGGTCCGGGAACAGGTAAAAATCTTATTAGCTTAAGGAAAGATTCTAAAGAAGGAAGGAGATGTGTACGTACGTCGTACGGGCGCTACATGCAAATCCGGGGTTTGACGCGTTGAAGGATGAGGGCTGCCATGATTATCAGACGTATCACCCGGGTGCCAAGACTGATTACATATCACTACTGGCACTTACGGGATCCAGCAACTTGTGGGAAGCAGGCCGCCGGGTATCCGCTAGAAGACGCATCGAAAATGGACTTGGATCACGGCGACCCTTGCTTGTTCCGCTCAGTCGAGGGTTGAACTGCCCGCGAATGAATGAATGCAAGAGGTATCACATTTCAGTACCGATGGTACTTACGGGAACTTATGAGATGGAAGCCGCCGAGGCATCCGGTAGAAGACGCACCGAAAGTGGACTTAAATCATAACGGCTCTTGCTTGTTCCGCTCAGTCGAACGTTGAACTGACCCGCGAATGAATGAATGAATTATCGGAAGCTTTCCACCCGGCGTCGGTGCGACGTCGGTTGAACACTGGCTTGCGGATAGCTATTCTCATGCCTGAACGGCCCTGAAGTCTCGCCACAAATCCTTGAGTTAGTGGAGCTCCGTGCATATATGGAGCAGGAAATAGCGGATCCATTTCGGAGGATATCAATCACCGCAGATGTAACTTCGGGCCAAGGACGTAGTGGGGCGGAAAATGGATGATTCTTAGAAATTGTCATACTAATGAGATGGGAGGACCGCTGTGGAATTCCAGTGGGAGTCATAGACGCTCCCCAAGATGGCTGTACATTCTGTTGAACATTTACAACAACCGCGACTTGGCCAATCGCAATGCAACACTTGACGAGGAAATTATCTTCTATCTCAGCGGAATGCCATGCACATTCTTGGATACAAACGATTGAGAGATATTGACAGCACCGTAGCACAGCTGGGAGTGCGCCGGTCTCATATCATGTCCACTGGATACCGCTTGAGCAATCCGGAGCCCGCTTGATCGAAACAAGCCGTTGCTATTAGCTTTTTACGCCTACCAAGGCAGAGGGGTGAGTCAACCGTAGCTCGAGTCAACGAAATCGAGTCAAGCTCGAGATCGAGTTAGATGTTCATTTTGAAATCAATGGGTTGGCCATGCAATTAACGGGACGACTCTAACGCTGTAAGGTTACTGCTTAGAATTTGCGTCTGGGCCCCGGACGCAACGGTGTACTTTCACTGACATTGAACCCATGTTGTTCTTTGTTTTATCGCTTTGCATTAGCGCGTTCACATCACGTTGAATTTCCCAGTTCAACTTGCACTCCAAAAGTTCGTGACTGAAGAAAAACAGATAATTCTCAAGGTCAATTTATACAGACAACAAATAATGGGATGTATGTTCACTTGTCCCAAAGTACAGAAAGGTATATGTTCTGCCAGTGCACGCTCAGCATTCCGCCCAACACCTCCCGCCCGTGCCACACAGCACTCTAGTTGGTGGTGGCGCTGGTGAACGGGGTTGTGGCAAACCCGATACGGTTGTTGTCCGTGTCGTGGACCGAGTAGAACCGTTCGAGGAACGCGTAGCCGTTGATGAAGTCGAAGCCCTCGCCGGAGTTGGAGCGCGAGTCGGCGACGATGAGGTAAATGCTTCTCGCGGAGCCGCCGATGGCGGTGTTCAGAGACCGGGGCCAGATCTGCGCGTTGGGGGTCAGGGCGTAGGTGACACCGCCTGCATTCCCCCAGTTAGAATTTAGAAGGTCAACGGAGAACGGAAGGACGCGCCGATGATAAAGTTGAGGTTCTGAAGCGCGGCGTACTGGGTCGCCGTAATCCTGAGCAGGCCGGTGTTGGCGTCGAGGACACCACCGGTGGCGCCCTGGTACCTGTTGAAACCTGCGAGCCAGAGTCAGCAAAACTGATCGCAGCAGAAAGAAAGCAATGTACCGTCGGTGGCGAGGTGGATGAGGGTGCTGCCAGTGTCGACAATGCCGGCGGTCGAGGCGAGAATGCTGGTAGTGCCGTCTATCGCGATTGAAATGAGACACGAAGAGCATGCAGCACAAAAAGCAAACGTACAGGTCACCTCCTGATCGATGCCCCAGTACTCTGACGCGGGAAAGGTCGAGGTCACTGGGGTGTAAGCAATCTCACCGGTGAACTTGGTTCTGTCAATTCCACCGAATGCGATCGAGCCGTTGGCGTCTTTGGCAGTGGTGGTGGGCTGGAAGGAAATGCCGAAAATGTTGTTGGTGATCGTGCCCTGGCTGACGAGGTTATCCATAACGGTGGGAATGAGCGAGGCCGGGTCGGGGGAGAGGGTCCCCGCAGTAAGACCGACAGGGCCCAGTCTAATTGAACTGCGTCAGACGGAGTCGGGATTTGTGACAAGGGCAAGCGCACCCCAAGATTCCGTCAATCCCACTGAAGCCGCTCGATCTCGAAGCGACACCGATGGATTGCTTGGGGATGACGAGGCCGGGGGCGAGGGTGACTTGATCGGTGTACTCAGTGCCTGGGAATGAAACAATCAGCGAAGAAAAACAAATTCCAATGTGAACGTACCCGAGAAGGACCCAGAACCGTACACGACGGACTAAAGAAGCAGAGTTATTCGACAGCATTTTTGACGTCAAGCATACTTACGACTCTGGAGCTCGTCTGGGTCGATGTCGAGGTCACCACATAATTCTTGCCGGCTCCGATCCATGTGTTGGATGAACCCTGCGTGTCCGGGTCAGCACTGAAATAGATCGCAGGAGAGAGAAAGAGATTCACCGTGTCGACGAGAAGGTCGTAGGACGTCGCGGGGCTGCCCACGCCAACGGTAGCCTTTGTGTTGGGTGCCCCGTCAGAGCCGCTGGAATTGTTGGGTAGAAGTCACGAACAATGTAGTCGACAACCCGATTGACCACAGTCTCCGAGATGAAGTCCCGGGCGTTAAGGCCGTTCTTCATGATGCTGCGGTTCTTAAAGGCGTTAATACGAGCCAAGTCGCTCTGCACGACAGAGCCTCCAGTGAAGTTGAAATGACGGGAGATGTCGAGGGTGATGGGGCTCTCGTTGACGAGAACGGGCCCCGCAGCGACGCGGACCGCGAGCAGGATGGCAGGGAGCAAGGTGAATGAGAGTTGGACCATGCTAAAGACTGTGAGAGGGAAACTGGGGTGAACCGGTGCTGTTGAGTATTTCGATGAAACACTTTATATTAATTTTCTCCCGGGTCTGTCGTCATCAACCAAGAACGCATAGATCTATCGCCAAGTGTCCATATTGGTTCACGGAAACCGATTGCAAAAAAAATTGAGTCTATTGCGATCCATTCATCTGGAAACCACCTAGTACCTACCGTGGTCGGGAGTTAGCTAGGCTTCTAGACCCCTAGCAACCCCCCCCTTTCTAGGAAAGGCTGCCTAGAATCTCTTCGCTACCGAGAAACACTAGATTCCTAGACTTATAGAGCTCGACTAGAGCGAGAGAAGCATAGCGACATTTCGAGTGTTCATTTTTACAAGCGTTCAACTTGAGATCCGGCGCGTTACTGCGTTCCAAGTGTTCATTTTTGAACATTCCAAGTGTTGAAAAATGAACACTTGGATTATTCTTTTTAAGCCGCCCGTATGAAGCTGAAGAAAATGCACAATTTCACTTGGGATGGACGTGCAGATCAGTTCCGTCAAGTTACCTTCGCGCGCAATTCGGCCGGGCGAACCAACTCGCTTCACTGCCGCTCAGGAGCACGGCTGCTGTCCGTCTGGGATACTACACGATTTTACTCGGGTGCTACATGCGCGATGATCGCAGAGGACAGTCCGCCCGGCAATGTCACACGCGCGCACGAAGGACTCGCGTCATCTCACAATGTGTCCGCACCTCCCGCTCCCAGACTCGTCCTCCATCCCAATTATCCTTCGTACCCCCAGTATCCCTCTCCAGTACTCGAGATCCATCCGCCCGCCCCTCGAACTCGCTCGCTCGTGATCCGCTACGCGCAGTGAAATGGATCCCACGGGGTGGCGGAATGCGGGGTGAGGAAGAAACTTGCTTGTGGGTTGATGGTGCGGTGAAGGCGGAGGCACACCCGCCAATTCCGCAAGCGAGTACTGAATGCTAGGATGCGAGTCGAAGTCGGAAGGTGAAGGCGGGCATGGGTCAGACCACCGCAGGCACAAGCAGTTCCTTCTCCTCCGTGTCGCGAGCGGAATGCTCAGCCGACGCCCGCCATTGGAAATGAAGATGTGCTGCGCTCTGCACGCGTCAGGCAAGTCGACGAAAGGTATCCCTCCATTCGTCGTACAGCGCATCCTCTCGCATGCATGGAGGGACATCCGATCCGAGTCTGAGGTCTGAGGCGTCTACGAATAATATCAATGGTAAACGAGAGGAAAGGGAGACGAAAGAGATGTACACACCCAAAGAGTTTCTTTCTGGATGGGAAAGGAGCGGAGCAGGGACGTTGAGAGGATCGCAGCGTCGTGTCCCTGGGTGGTGCACTATAGACCGCGGAGCGCACGTAGATGTCGCCTCGACACGGCGATACACGTGCCTACAGGGCAAGAAGCACAGCGAACACATCACGCTCGCGACTCGTTCGCTGCGCTGAAATCAAGCCGTGGGTCGTCCTCGGTAGCGTATAAACCATATCCCTCCCTCCCAGGTATTACCAAGGCAAGATAAAGGGTCTAAAGCGACATGAGACCTAAGACCAGTGAAAAGAAAGGGCACGTACCGCGCGGCGTATACATTCGCGTCATCTGGTCCGTTCATCCCTCGTCTTCGGTCTTCAAGGGACTACACGAGGAGGGCGAACTCTAGCTGGGATACGAGCGTCCGCCGGGTTGCGGCGAGCACATATGTATATCGGCACCATGGCGCGTCGAGCAGAGGCCCAGCCACATTAGCGACGCGTCCAGCCGCGAACTCGCGGGCGGAGGGACTGCGCTGCCGGAATGGCGAGGTGGCATATCGCGTGGTGCTGGACACGCCTGCTCGCTCGATGCCGTTGGCCGAAGACATGTACTATCCCTGGCAAAGCGGCATGAGACGAACCGAAGACGAGTGAAGCGGGGGACGTACCTGGCAGCGGCCGCGCACACTGCTCCATCCCATCCATCTCTTGTCTTGTCGACGATAAAGCGCATCGAAACAGAGATGTCCTGCGAGCGAATGTGAGAACGAGAGGGATACTGAAAGGTGTGGGGACATACACTGACACGACGAGCGAGCGTATGCGAAGTCTTTCCTGGAAATCCGTCGTCTAGATTTGAGGCGTTCGGCTGCAAAGGCCACTGGATGACATTGATGACGAGCGGGCGCGGATGAGAAAAAGAGTACGAACGATGGTGTAAAGATGAGTACAAGGCGGCGGTGCACCCCGCGCGATGGTCTATCGCGTGCCGCGGGTTTTGCACCGTGCTCAGGGGTGGTCCAGCTTCCCAGTCATCTATGACTCTGAACTGACAAACTTTTGTGGATGCGGGTCAGAAACAAGACGGCTGTGCGGCTGTGCTGAAGGATCAACGTTGATGAACCCTAACCCCCGGGCCACGCCCTTCTCTTCTCGACTATCACATGGAGCTCTTGGTTTCGCATCGGGCGGGGATAAGGTACGCCCCCTTTCCGCACGCTTTCTCTTCTCTTCTCTCTTTTTATCTCCCTCGTTCTAAACAGTGACTCACCACGTTCGTTTACGCACAGCTCACCGACGAGGTGAATACGCTGGCCGCGAATTTGAGGACGCAGGTGCGCTCCGTTTGCTTTACCTTTCCTGAAAGCTGGATCGCGAGCTGAGGCACCGGAGATGGTGGAGGGACAGAAGCGGACTGAGGAAGACACTTGAAGCTGCGGGATGCGTGTCGTGGCGTCAGAATCCCGGGCCTCACGCCCTTTTACTTTCCGGCCTTCTCATACATCGACTGACGCCCATTCGCAAAGGTGGGCGCAAGGGGAACCAAGCCGAGGTGAGTTTTTTTCCTTTCCCTTCTTTGAGGAAGGGGGGTAGGCGGATACTAGAGGGGGGCAAAGCGCGGAGGAGTGT